CTCCTCTCCTTGATCTGCCTAGGGAGGCACAATAAAGATCATGACCATATTGTCACTTCTTCTTCCACACAAGCCCCCCGAAAAACTAACCCCAATCTCCTGGGGAGAATAGGCTAAATTCAAGGATTTTATGAAAGGGTGGTCACCGACATAATGCAGAATTAATGTCTACCTGAAGTGTCACTGAAGCCTCCTAGTGACCCTCTGAAGCAGAGAGCACCATCCCTTTTGGGGTGTTGCTTCTTTGGGAAGCTAAGTCACCGTAAATTTGCACAGTTGTTAAATAATGGCCCCAGTTCAAGTGTTCACGGGCCTAGTTCTAGAGACCACACGGGTTGTTTTCATTGTAGCAGGGCTTGGGCTTTGGCTGCCAGGGTTTCAGAGAAATGTCACAGTAGCAGGTGGTTATTACCAGGCCTGTGTCATCTTGCCTGTACCTCCAGAACAGGGGGAAGCAGCCAGTGAGGCAGGGCTGATGATTCAGGGCTCACGCTGCTGGGTTTCATGACCGTTTGTGCCTCTGGAATCCAACATGCTGGAGACTGTTCAGGAATTAGCTAAGTCCTGAAAAAGGATAAGGTAGACTTGCCCTCACGTATCAAAACATAAAGATATTCTAGTTAGAATCATGGTATTGAAACAAGACTAAGCAAGTCAATGGGCGTGTCAGGAAGGAGAATCCGGAAGTAGAGCCATTCTTTGTAGGAATTTAATTTCTGATCAAAGGAAGAGCTCATTCAACGAGTGGTTTGGGGACATCTGGCTCCCCACTTAAAATGTTACTGGAAGTTTACACACTCACACACACACACATAGACACCCCAAATAAAATTCTTCATGAACTAAGAATAAGCTGTTCATAGAGTTAAGCATAAAAATAAAATTATAGCAATGTTTTTGTAATCTCAGCCTTCCTAAGCAATACACAAAGTCCAGAAATCATAAAGGCTCGAGAGTTTTAACTTCATGAAAATTGAAACGAGAAGCGAATGGGAAAGAGCAGGCTACTGAAGGAGAACTTCGCTGTTTTCTGCATTATGTTGATCTTATATAAGGAGAACTTGCTGAGGTCCACTGTTAAAAAAGACCATGTGGCTTAAAAGATTGACATCTCTCTTTTTTATTATTATTTTTGCAGTGTTCCCTCCCACCCCTGGTAACCAATAAAGAAAGTTTCCTTCCATGTATAAACCTTTCCTTGACTTTTTACAATAATGAACTAATACAATATTTGTCCTTCTGTAGGAGCTCTGGTGGCATAGTGCCTAAGGCATTTGACTGTTAACCAGAAGGCCGACGGTTCAAACCCACCAGACACTCCTCGGAAGGAAGGTTGGGTAATCTACTTCCGTAGCGATACTGCCTCGAAAACCCAAGGAGGGGTTGCTATGAGTCAGATTCTACTGGACGGCAATAGGGTTGGTTTTTTGGTTGTGTGTGCGTGTGTGGCTTGAAAGATTGTGACCTTCCCTTATGAACTTTGTGTGGGGGTTGAAAAAAAGATGGGCCCTTCCTCCAGGGCTTAGAGTCAAACTATGAAAATGGACCCCTACTCCAACAGCCACAGCCCAGGGCTACGAAGAGCCTGGCCAGGTGCAATGGTTGTACAGCCTTGGAGCAATTCCTGGCAGTGGTTCCTGGAGCTGAGCCTTGCAAAGTTGATAGGATTTCAGTAGATGGGAGAAAACGGTCTTCCAGAGTAGAGAGGTGGAGGCCAGCAGCCCGAGGTGCCCCAGGTGTCCTGTCCCCACACTGTGATAAGCCGAATTGAAAGTGGGTCAGTCCTGCACAGATCTCACCCCCTGGCCTGGAAACCAGAGTAGAGAAAGTGGTGAAAACAGGCACGAGCTGGGTTTAGGGAATGGTCCATAGGCCTGAGAGAAGGTCAAAGGTCAAGAGCCAACTGGGGTGGGGGCGGTGATATGATTGACCAGGAGACCCTACTGATCTTGGCTCCTGTGAAGAGTGTGTTACAGGACCTGAGGTGTGGATGAGGTGACAGTTTGCCCAAGAGACTAAACTGGCCTATGGCTGACATCACAGGTTTAAAGAAGAATGCTCACCTGGGACACGTGGGCAAGCCAGGCCTCAGAGGACCACAGCTATCCTTCCCTTCTCACCACATCCTAGACAGACTGTTCCTCAAGACAGAGTCCTTGGCTCTAACCCTGAGCTTACCCAGCTACTCACTGTCCCCAGATTCAGGTTCCTAGCACCACAGGATAAGACCACAAAGCTTTTTGCTCCTTAGCCAAGGGTCAGAGGTCACTGCATAGCCAGCAGTGTCCTGGTTGGTTTGCATTCCTTATATGCTCATAATCAATCTGGGGCAACACTTTGTGAGAGGAGAAAACAGAGCTCATGACGGACCCAAGAGCCAGGAGACAAAGGCCACTCGTCCCCCTGCCTGTTCCAGCCACCACCGTGGAGGCCAGGCCCTCTCTAGCAAGCACTGCTATCTTGTCTTTGCCTCTTCCAAATCCAGGTGTCTTAATTCAACAAGTATGTGTGCTAGTAAGGTGGGAGGGGAGATCTGAGGGGTGAAGCAGGGCTGGATCATGGGGGGCCTTACAGGCTCTTGCTTTGAATGGGATGAGGTGGCCACGGGAGTGCTGTGACCAGCTGATGCAGGATCATGTTGGCTGCTGTACTGAGAACGGACGGAAGAAAGGCAGAGGGAGAACAGTGAGAAATTTTGAAATCCAGGTGATGGTGTTTTGAATCAGGAGGTGGCAACGGAGGTGAGGACACATGGTCAGTTGGTCTGGATGGGAAATCCCACAGGATTTCCTGATGCGTTGGATGTGAAACAGGAGTGTAAGATGACTGTTTTTGCTCAAAAATCATAAAAAGCACCAGGCTTACTGGTCTAATAGAGACTCCATAGACATTGGCCCCTAGTCACCCTTTGGGCCTTGGAACTGAACTCACTCCCATGGCTTCTAGCCAAACAACAGACAGGTCTAGAAGGTGAACAATTAAATTACACCAGGTGAGTACACTCCTTGGAACAATCAACCATAGGAGATCAGAAGGGCTGCATTTGCACAGGGAGACAGCTCAGAGAGCAGGAATGCATAGGAGAGAAGGGCACAGGGAAAAGGTAACTACAGGGAGGAAGTGGGAAGAGAGCTGTTACATTTACATTGTGGGGATTGCAATCAGTGTGTATGAGCTATTGAATGGAAAACGAATATGCCCTGTAAACTTTCACCCAAATCACACATACAAAATAAATGATGACTGATTTTGGCCTGAACAACTGGAAGAAATTTGCTTTAGACTGTGATGGGCACAGCCGCAGATGGAGCAGAGTGCAATGTTGGGCAAGCCTGATTTGTGATGTTCACACCCCCAAGGCGATGACAAGTAGGCAGCTGGATACATGAAGCTGGAGTTCAGGAATGTGGTCCGGGCCAGGGAAGTAAATGTGGGACTCACTGTCACAGAGCCAGTACCAGCTGCCATTGGGTCATTCGGACTCATGGTGGCTTCCTTTGTGTTGAGTAGAACTGTGCTCCAGAGGGTTTGCAACAGCTGATTTTCTGGAAGCACATCCCTAGGCCTTCTCCCAAAGTGCCTCGGCGGGGGGGGGGGGGGCTTGAACTGCCAACCTTTCTGTTAGCAGCTGAGACTTAACCACTTACTCCACCACCATGGACTCTGCACTGGCAAGTAGAAGAGTGTTTAAAGGCCAGTTCAGGTGTCCTCAGTAAATATGCAGTGGGCTCAACTGAGTCTGGTTCTTAGATGGCCTCCCTGCTGGCCTCTGCCTATGAGTTTTCCTTTTCTCAAATTCCTCATATCCTTTCCCCTTAGTTGGATGAGGGGAGGGCTCTGAGACTTGCTCCTAATGAGAAACCAGTGGCCCCACTTGCTGATGGAAGGAGAATCTTTGGAGAATCCACCTCAGTATCTGTCTGTGGTATAGTAAATTACCTCGTATGGCTTTTCTAGCCATAAGTCTTTGTAAAGTCAGTGGTGGAATTTGCTGTAAGCAACTGAGGAGCTCCCAATTGTAAAAGTTATCCACCTGGGGTATTTCTGTTGGGAGTGGCACAAACCAATGGTCTGGGAAGTTTGCTCTTTCTCAGGTGCTTAGAATTCTGATGTTATGATTGGTTAGTTTGGCCACTCTGCCAGGCTCAAAGGGAGGCCTCCTAGAGGCAGAAGTCTCTCTTTGACTGCTGGCTGAGAAGGATGAGCTGCTGAGAGAAACGTGCTCCTGAGAGAAACACACTCCTGAGAGAAACACGCTCCATAGAGACACATGCTCCTGAGAGACATGCACTGCTGGGAAAGAGACACAAGAGACACGCATTGCTGAGAGAGACACTGAGAGTCACGCACTGCTGGGAGAGAGACTGTGAGAGACTGTTGGCTGAGGGACGGTGGGCTGAGAGAGACTGAGCATTGTTCCTGAACTTGAATTGTAGCCTGGTGCTTCCCTATTAAGCCCCATAATCTGTGAGTTCTGTGTGGCCACTGCAACAAATTATCGAACCCAGTAGAGAGGTGGTGGGTGCTGCGGGAGGAACAATTGGTGAAAGGGCTGGAGGGAGGCAGCATGTCTGGCCTCGCAGGAATAGGCCTTGGGCTACTGATGGTGATTCTGTCTTCCTCTTGTGGGGTTAGAGGAGGTCAGAACATGCGGCCTCCCTGCCCCTTTAGCACTCTCCCTCCCCCTTCCCTGCACCCTTCCCAGGGCTGGTGCTGCCAGCAGGTGGCTTGTGAGAGGAAGCTGAGCCTGCCCTGCCCTACTCACACAAAAGTACAGCCTGTGGGGACAGAGAAAACCTTGTCACTGTCATTTTAATTCTCCTGAGGGAGGGGGATGGAGAATACCATATTCACCATCTCTGAGGTGACAGGGTGAGAACAGGAAGTGGGGTTAAGCTACTCCCCCTCCCACCCCACCTGCTCCCAACATGAAAACTTCCTGTGATGAGAACAGAAACACAGATGCTGTCCCCGAAGCCTGAGCCGGGCAGAGAGGAGCCATGGAGGGGCCGCAGCTCCTGGTTCTGCTCTGGACTTTGCTGACCCTCTGCCTCACTGCTGGTGAGCAGGAGGCCAGGCTGCGGGAGGGGTCAGAGAGAAGCAGAAGCCACCCTAGGGAGAGCTGAAAACACAGCTTCAGACCTTCCTATCTCCACATTCCACAGGGACCCCTGAGGTGTGGATGCAAATTCAGATGCAGGCCACTCAGGTCCAGCCCGTCACTGTCCGCTGTGGATTCCTGGGATCAGGCTCCATTTCCCTGGTGACTGTGAGCTGGGGGGGGCCTGAGGATGCTGGAGGGACCAAGCTGGCTGTGCTGCATCCCGACTTCGGCGCCCACCAGTGGCCCCCAGTGCTCCAGGCCCACTGGGAAACGGGGACCAGTGTCTCCCTCACCGTAGGAGGCTCAGAGGGGAGGAACCTCAGTGCCAACAGCACCTTTTGCTGCAAATTTGTGTCCTTCCCCGAGGGCTCCCAGGAGGCCTGTGGGAACCTTGTCCTCAGCACAGCCCAAGGTAGGTCTAATGTGGAGAAAGGCCTAGGGTGGGCAAGGAGGGGCTCAGGGACGCCGGCCAGCCATCTGGCATACCTCTCTCTGTGCACAGAACTCCCTGCCCCTACGCCAGCCCCCATTGTGAAGGCAGACCTGGCTGGGATCTTTGGGGTCACAGGGGTCCTCTTTTTTGGCTGTATCTTCCTTCTACGCCTGCTTCAGCAGAAGCGTCGGTAAGACCAGGCCCCGACCCCAATCCCAGTCAAAACCCCCACACCACTGAGCTAGCGCAGGGTTTGCCTCTGACGCCCTGTTTCTCCCAGGTCTGTCCGTAGGCACTGGTCACCCAGTACCAGCCCCCAGACACAAGTGCCAGCTCAGGTGAGGCCTATGGGTCATGTCTGGAGCAAGTGGGGCTGGAGTTGGGGGGTCGTGATGCAGGGGGAGTCTCACCTGGCCCTCCTTCCCCATCACTCCCACAGGCTGCTGGCCAGGCCTCTGGGACCTCCCTCCACAGCCCCGACACCAGCATGAACACCAACCGCTCCAGCGAAGCCACTCTGGAGAGGGCCCACTCCCACCAGCCGCTCTCCTGGTGGGCGCACAGCTCCACCCACACTGCAGCCTGGCCTCAGGCGCCAGGCCCCCGGGCCCCCCTGCCTGCCTCTGCCCACAGCAGTTTCATCTCTGTGGAGAATGACCTCTATGCTCAGGCAGGAGGAGAGCCACCTCACTTGGGTCCTCTTCTTGACCACCCGGAGCCCAAGCCATGGAGGGGCGCCTAGGAGTTCGATGAGAGAGACTGCAAGCTCATTCAGCCTTCCTTGCCTCACAGGCCTATGGGACTTGCCCTCTGGTGGGAAGCTGTGTTCCTGGACTCCCACCATCTTTACACATCATGCTTTATTCTTGGGCTTCGGATAAGTGTCATCACACACATACCCACAGCCAGAGCCCATTTGCCAAGAATGTGGTCAGTGAGTGCCCATGTGTGCATGTTAGGTGACAAAACCCCGTCCCAGGTTGTTTCCTGTTTTGCGCACTTCCCCAGCTCTCCCAGGTGATGTCAATAAATCAACCAGCAAAACGGTTTGTCTGATTTGGGCCTTGGGTGTGCTTTCTGTTGGATGGGAGTGCAAGTGGCGGTTAAGAGGTTAGAGGCAGGTTTAACGCCTGGGAGGCGAGGGTTGAATCAGACACAGGTAGGAGGGGACCTCAGTGTGGGGGCCCCAAGAGAGGGTGGACTGTCTCAATCTCAGCCATCTGTCCCACTCCCGGGATGGTTTTGTTTTAGGCCTTTGGGGCTGTGGCAGCTGGGCCAGGCAGGGACCTTCCTAGCTCTGCAGCTCCCACTGAGAAACACCAGGGGCTGGGCAGACAGGACCAGGCATTTGGTGGGCTCAGGTAGGATGCTCCACACTCAAATGGCACCATGTCCCAGAACAGCAGCAAGGGCTCCCAGGGCAGGACGTGGCCTGACAGAAGACTCAACCTCAGAACGGTCCCTGTGGTCTGATTGACTTCCCTCTGACCAGGATCCCGGAGATGGCCTGAGGGTGGGGGCCTGATGCCTCCTTCCACAGAATTGACATTCATCGTGGGGAGGCCACCTCACACCTGCCCACAGTGACTTCCTCCAACTCCTCTTCCTCAACAAGGGCACCTGGAACTACTTCCGGCTGGCCACTCGAGGGGGCAGGCAGAGAGGCCCACTCAGGCTCCATGCTCACCAACCCCCAGACATCTGATCTATCAGCCTGCCCCATGAGACAACTTGAGTGAGAGCAGCGTCGTGTTACCCAATAAGCAAGGTAAGCACAGGCTTACTAATCTGTAGTGAACAATCGCACATTTCTTGGCCACATCAAAGATTCTGTTTCTAGGTATGAGTGTCATCTCTCTGTCTCCCAACCCCACACCTTCCTCCAGAATCAAAGCCTCTTTTCAAATTTATAATCCCTGACAGGGAGGAGTAGCCAGTAAGCGAGGTAAGCATGAGCCTACTTGTGCTTACTGACTAATCCGTTGTGAACAATTTCACAAGGGTTTCACGTCTGGGTGAGAGGACTTTGTAAGCTTGCAGCCTCCAAAGGAACATGGTGGGTTCTGGAGACAGGAGGGCACTGTGGTCTTGGAGCCAGGTTGGATACTCCCTCTGAGGGCGGATACTGGCAAGGATCGGGGAGAGGAGGGACACCCAGGCTTGAGCCCTCGTTTGGTTCTGCATGTGGGAATTCCCAAGTGATGCCTGGCTCAGGCAGGGCCTGCCCTGAGGCTGTCCAACCAGGCTCCTCTGGCAGTCCAGCCTACTGCTGGGCGAATTCAGCCCATCGGGCCAGCAGCTCCACCCTGGGCTGGGTGGAGGTAGACGGAGCAGGGCAGAGGGGTGTTAAGGGACTATGCGGCTGCCTTCCTCAGCCAATGATTATCATCATCCTCTGAGAAGTTCTCAGCACTGGCCTCGTCAACTCAGCAGTCCCTGCAGGGCTGGGGCTTAAAGTGTGTGTGTGCGGGGGGAATCCTTTAAGGTCTTTAAAATTGCTTGAATAATTTCTTTCAGAAAGATCAGCACAAGGCTGGTTCCCATGAGACGGAGGTTAAAGATGTCCCAAATGTCCAACTTTTCCCAACTGCCGGGCCACTCCATCACCTCTGACATCAACTCCTCCTCCTCCCCTCAGTAACTGCCCCCTCCCCCCCATCTTAGGGTTCCGTCCTCGTTCACTGTAATGTTCACAAACTCCTGAGGAAATGGCTCACATGGTAGTGGTCGAGGCTGGCAGGCTGGCAGGCTGGCAAGTTCCAGGTCTGTGGGTAGGTCAGTAGGATTCTCCCGGCTCACATGGTTGCAAATTGACAGGTCACATGACGGCTGCTGTCTCAAGTCCAGGGTTGAGATGATGACGAACCAAACACAAAACCGGAGCAAGAGAGCGAACTTTCTCAGAACATTCCAGTATATACCCTCAAGGAAGCTGAGGGTGGTGACCTGAGTCACACCCTCCAGCAAGGCGGGACTCAAGATACAGCCCACCCTAAACAGACAGGTGGTTGTTGTTATGTGCTGTCTCAAGGTGGACCCAACTCATAGCGACCCCTCCTTGGGTTTCCGAGGCAGTATCACTACGCAAGTAGATTGCCCCATCTTCCTTCCAAGGAGTGGCTGGTGGGTTTGAACCGCCAGCCTTCTGGTTAGCAGTCAAGTGCCTTAGGCACTATGCTACCAGAGCTCCATAGACAATAGAATTTACAATACATCACAAAATGGAGGATGATGGCTAGAAGGCTTGCAGGGCCATATTAAGCTATTCACTGCACTGCAAAGATGCTTTTTGAGGTCTCCAAGGAGAGCTGGGGAGGCAGGGTAAGGGAAGGGAGATGTCAGTGAGAGAAGTGGGTCAGGACCCAGTAACCCTGGGACAATATGAGGACCAAGGAGAGGGCATCGGGGAGATGGGGTTGCAGGGGTCTCAGAGGAAGTCTTGGGGGTTCTCCAGGAAACCTGACTGCTCCAGGAAGAGATTATTCATGGGACGAGGAGGGACCCCAGATCCCCACCCGGCCACAGCCGAGAGCAGGGATAGGTGCTGGTTGCTCGGGAGGCCAGCCTGACCCCTGCGGTCCTTGAAGTCAAAGAGCGTGGGAACCTGGAAGTGTCTGCACAGTTGGCCAGGTTCCCTCTGCCCACATCCAAACGCCAGGCCCAGCAGGTAGGGATGGGGGATGGGAGCCTGCGAGAGAGCAGAGCTGTGGATGTGCCGGTGGGGGTGAGGCGTGTGCAAGTGTGTGGACAGGCACAGCTCCTAGGCCGGTGGTTGTTGTTTGCAGACGTGTGCCAGTGAAGTGGCTGGCAGAGGTTTGTCGGTGGGCGGTGACTAGGCTACAGGTTAAGAGTGGCCCTAGACATCAAACTCAATTGGCATAACATACTATACAAAACATTGTTCCACCTACTACTTTGGCGAGTAGCGACTGGGACCTTAAAAGCTAGGAAGCTGTCATCTAGATGCAACAACGGGTCTCTCCTCATCAAGAAGAAAGAAGAAAACCAAAATTAATGGAAACAATCAGTCCTAGCGACTGGTACACCATCCGATCTGCAACCTATGCAACTATGAGACCAGAAGAACTAGATGGTGCCCAGCTACCACTGCCATCCGCTTGGAAGGGATGTAGGAGATCCTGCATAAAGAGGGAGAACAATGTGGTACAAAACTCAAAATCATTTGGCGGCAAAAAAAAAAAAAGAAGAAGAAGGTGGGGACCAGGTTTGCTGGTCCAATGGAGCCTGGTGTAACCACTGAGACTATGGCCCCTAGCTGCCCTTCAGGTCTGGAATTGAACCCACAACTGTGGTTTCCAGCCAAACAAAGTATAGGCATGTGAGTTAAACATTTACCTCAAGTAGACACACGCCCTGGAGAGAACAATCATGGGAGAAGGAAGGGCTGCTTATGCACAGGGAGATAGCTCAGGGTGCAGAAGAGTATGAAGGGATGGACACTGGGAGGAGGTAACTATGGGGAGGAAGTGGGAGGGGAGCTGCTGCATTGTAAATTTTGGTCAATGACATGAGACAAAGTATATGTGAACTGCTGTATGAAAAGTGAATTTACTCTGTAAATCTTCACCCAAATCCTAAAAAAAAAAAAAAAAAAAAAAAGAGTGGCCCTAGCCGAAGTCTCCAGGTCCTATTTTTGGAACCCAATCTCTGCTGCTTATTCAGTCAGTGTGTGTGGGAATTTGGCCGAGAGAGAGGGGCGCCTTGCCCAAGAACACAGAACTGAGTCAGCCCCAGCACATCCACACTTCCCTCCCCTCCAGCTACTGCAGGTGCCCAGGGCAGACCTGGGTTCAAATCCCACTGGCCGAGTGACACCCCCCCCCACCCCAGGAGCGTACTTAGCCTCTCTGAGGCTCTATGCTCATGGGAACATTAGGTTGAGGGGAGAGTGAAGAGTAAACTAGGGAGAGTCCCAAGTACTAAGGGACTTTTTTAGGTGTTTCTATTGAGGGAGCTCTGGTGGTGTAATGCCTAAGGCGTTTGACTGCTAACCAGAAGGCTGGCGGTTCAAACCTACCAGTCACTCCTGGGAAGGAAGGCTGGGCAATCTTCTTCTGTAGGAGGGCTCACTGTGAGTCGGAAGTGACTTTGAGGGCAGAGTTTGGTTATTATTATTACTATTACTGAGTCCATGTAACAGGTGTGGAGCCTGAGGTTCACAGAAGATCAGTAACCAGGCCAAGGTCACAGAGCTAGTCAGCAGAGATGTTCTTAGCTCCCCACGGGGGGACATGCAAGTGGGAGATAGAGGCGCGGTGCCACCAGCCTGGGCCTGGACACTTTCGCTCCTGCGCTCAGGGCGTGGCAAGCTGGTAGGCTCCTTGCGGCGGACACCCGGCCCGGCGCGGAGGGCGCCCCCTCTGGCGGCCGAGGAACCCTGGGCGCCGCTAGGTGGCGCCACTCATTCTGGCTGCGGGGGCCGGGCCGGCAGCTGGAGTAGGCAGCCCGTGGGCACGCTGGGCCAAAGCTTCCAGGCCCGCTGGGCCGGGCCCGGCTCCCGGGCGCTGCGGGCCGGGCGGGGACCGACTCGTGTCCCACCTGGGGCCGCTACCCCAGCCGTCCAGACAGACCCAGCCCCTTCCCGAACACCGATCCAACCTTGCCCTCCCAGACACCCTCCTCAGGACCCACCCTTCTCCCCTAAGACCATCCCTCCCAGCAGCCGGGCCCCGAGGACCAGCCCACCCCTCCATGCGCGGCTTCCAACTACCCTAGAGCCCG